AGGATAATTAATAGCCAGGGATAGCGGAGGAAGAGTAGGAAAAGAAAGAGGAGAAAGAGGTAGAGTAGGAAGTGGGAGGCGACTCTGACAAGTCTTTCTGATAGTCTATCTGCCTACTGTTGTGTATCCACTGTACCCAGCACTACCAACGGCCTCCCTCCTTCCTCGACCTTACATACGGTGCAAGCTACCAGTAGCCCTATAAACCTCACATACGGTGTAAGCTACCAGCAGCCCTATAAACCTCACATACGGTGTAAGCTACCAGTAGCCCTATAAACCTCACATACGGTGTAAGCTACCAGTAGCCCTATAAACCGACAAGATAAAGACCAGAGTACTGTTTCTACCTCGTCATTACCGGATGGAGGGTCGAGCCTCCACCACCGCCTGACACTGACCCACAAGGGTTTAACGCTTTCTGAGAACATGACACGGTAACCACAACACTGATAGTGTAAGCAGACGCCGCCTGAGTGGCGCTACTCTGACACTCCCAGGACGGTCAGTGCCAGTTTTGTGAGTACATGTACACTCTCACAAGCTTCCCCCCCCCCCTCAGAGAACCCTTATCTTGGTGCTGGTGAAGGGCTCTTGATCCAAGGAATTTCCGCATGGACAATTTGCATTTTGACGCCAGGGGTATATTTACTGGACAGTGCCATTCATGCTGTAAGTGAACAGGCAACCATAAAGACAGTAGTGGACAGTGCCACTCTTTCTGTGAGTGAACATATCAACATATAGTAGTAAGCAGTGCCACTCATGCCATGAGTGAACATACCAACATAAAGACGGTACAATACAGACCAAACAGAAGACACACATGGCGATGACAACTTTATCCTTGACTGTGTCAAGCTACGACACACACACACACACACACACACACACACACACACACACACACACACACACACACACACCACACACACACACAACACACACACACACACACACACACAAACCTATTCCAATATACACTCTCACTACTTTCACAAACAACCATCATCAAATCGCAGCAACCATGCACAGTGTGTGTGTGTGTGTGTATGTGTGTGTGTGTGTGTGTAACAGAGAGTGCAGCAAGAGTGCCACCAGGGTTCCTGCTGTTCCATGACTCACTCTTACACTCTCCAACATCCACTCCCACACATACTGGTAATGGTACTAAAATTGTGACAGCTGGGTTAATAATTTAGTAAATTACTATTTTTGCTATTTCCACTGTTACCTCTATTACTACTATTAATAATAATAATAATAATAATAATAATAAATATTATTATTATTATTATTATTATTATTATTATTATTATTATTATTATTATTATTAATTGTTAGTATTATTACTATTACTTTTATTAACAAAATAATAACAAGAATAAGAAGCCAGAGAAAGAAGAGGAAGAAGATAGAGAAGATGAAGGAGAAACTATAAGAATTTCGTAATTATTATTGTCATTACCTCACTATCATCTCTCCTACATCATCTCCATCACAAATTAAAGTTAAAAATAAAACTGCCTACAGTCTTGGGGTCACGAAACTTTATTAATGTAACCCAACTTTGTCACAGCAATAAGGAATATATACCCATGATAAAAGGGCGTAATTTCGCCTTTATGCACTACACGGTAATTGACTTAATCTTATTTCATGTTTACACACACATTATATATATATATATATATATATATATATATATATATATAATATATTATATATATAATATAATATATATATATATATATATATATATATATATATTATTTTTATATATATATATATATATATATATATATATATATATATATTAAATATATATATATATATATATATATATATATATATATATTTTATATTATATATATATATATATATATATATATATATATATAAAATATATATATATATATATATATATATATATATATATATATAATATAACCAGAAACAGCCAAATACAAGAGGATACCAGCAGATACAGGGGGGTACCAGCAAATACAGGGGGATACCAGCAGATACAGGGAGATACCAGAAGATGCAGGGGAATACCAGCAGCTACAGGGAAATACCAGCAGATACAGGGGATACCAGCAGATACAGGGGATACCAGCAGATACAGGGGAATAGCAGCAGATACAGGGGAATAGCAGCAGATGCAGGGGAATACCAGCAGATACAGGGAATACCAGTAGATACAGGGAATACCAGCGCATGGCGCGTGCTAATTGTGATCATCGTATTTTCGTTCGGAAAACCACGACTTCCCCCTCTCTGTCAGGTTGACGCTCAGTACTCAGGCTGACGCTCCACTCTCAGGCTGGCGCTCAGTACTTAGGCTGACGCTCCACTCTCAGGCTGGCGCTCAGTACTCAGGCTGACGCTCCACTCTCAGGTTGACGCTCAGTACTCAGGCTGACGCTCCACTCTCAGGTTGACGCTCAGTACTCAGGCTGACGCTCCACTCTCAGACTTCAAGATTCACAACATCAACAACAATAACGTTTGAATGCTGTAACTTCGGCATCGGCAAATCCAAATTCGGACTTTCCGAGTTCAGAACCGATGGATTCGAATTCATTAGACTCGGATTCACTGGATTCGGATTCATTGGATTCGGATTAGTCCGGTTCTTACTCGGTTAATTCTGATTCGACGGACTGGGACAAGTTGAATATTGTTTTAATAACAATGATGATGATGATGGTGATGATGATGATGATCATCATCATCATCATCATCATAATAATAATAATAATAATTAATATAATAATAATAATAATAATAAAATAATAATATTATTATTATTATTATTATTATTATTATTATTATTATTATTATTATTATTATAACCAACGCTCTATAGGGTGGTGAATGTTGCAACAAGAAGAAGGCTGGAGGCAGTGGAGATGTGTCTGAGGACAACGTGCGGTGTGAATATAATGCAGAGAATTCAGAGTTTGGAAATTAGGAGGAGGTGCGGGATTACCAAAACTATTATCCAGAGGGCTGAAGAGGGGTAGTTGAGGTGGTTCGGACATGTAGAGCGGCTGGAACGAAATAGAATGATTTCAAGAGTGTATAAATCTGTAGTGGAGGGAAGGCGGGGGTAGAGGTCGGCCTAGGGAGGGTTGGAGGGAGGGGGTAAAGGAGATTTTGTGTGTGAGGGGCTTGGACTTCGAGAAAGCATGCGTGAGCGTGTTAGACAGGAGTGCATGGAGACAAGTGGTTTTTAGGACTTGGCGTGCTGTTGGAGTGTGAGCAAGGTAATATTTTTATGAATTCAGGGAAACCGGCAGTCCGGACTTGAGTCCTGGAGATGGAAAGTACAGTGTCTACATTATTATTATTATTATTATTATTATTATTATTATTATTATTATTATTATTATTATTATTATTATTATTATTATTATATAGAGGAAGCGCTGAACCCATACGGGTCAGACAGTGCCCTGGGATTAGGAGGTGATCAGGTTCCATCCGGGGAATGGGAAAGATAGTTCCAATTCCTTGGATCAAGATCCCCTCCAGAGGCACTTGGAGAAATCCTCTCTCCACAACTTCAAAGATCTTCCCCTAGTATAAGAGCAGACCTTCCCCTCTAGTATTATACCACATCTTCCCCCCCCCTAGTGTTATACCAGACCTTCCACCCTAGTGTTATACCAAATCTTCCCCCCTATGTTATACCAGACCTTCCTCCCTAGTATTATACCAGATCTCCCCCCTAGTGTTATACCAGACCTTCCCCCCTAGTATTACACCACATCTTCCCCCCTAGTGTTATACCAGACCTTCCCCCCTAGTGTTATACCAAATCTTCCCCCCTAGTGTTTTACCAGACCTTCCTCCTAGTATTATACCAGATCTTCCCCCCTAGTGTTATACCAGACCTTCCCCCCTAGTATTACACCACATCTTCCCCCCCTAGTGTTATACCAGACCTCACCCCCTAGTGTTATACCAAATCTTCCCCCCCTAGTGTTATATCAGACCTTCCCCATAGTGTTATACCAGATCTTCCCCCCTAGTGTTATACCAGACCTTCCCCCCCTAGTGTTATACCAGACCTTCCCCCTAGTATTATACCGGATCTTTCCCCCTAGTGTTATACCAGACCTTCCCTAGTGTTATGCCAGATCTTTCCCCCCTAGTGTTTATACCAGATTTTCCCCCTAGTGTTATACCAGTTCTTTCCCCCTAGTGTTATACCAGACCTTCCCCTAGTATTATACCAGATCTTTCCCCCCCTAGTGTTATACCAGACCTTCCCCCTAGTGTTATACCAGTTCTTTCCCCCCCTAGTGTTATACCAGACCTTCCCCTAGTGTTATACCAGATCTTTCCCCCCCTATGTTATACCAGACCTTCCCCCTAGTGTTATACCAGTTCTTCCCCCCCCCTAGTGTTATAACAGACCTTCCCCTAGTATTATACCAGATCTTTCCCCCCCTAGTGTTATACCAGGCCTTCCCCTAGTGTTATACCAGTCTTTTCCCCCCCTAGTGTTATACCAGAACCTTCCCCCTAGTGTTGCTCCCAGGTAGTTCTCTGATAATTGTGCTAGATTTTTTTTCCAATCCGTTTTAATTGTATTGTGTGTATGTGTGTGTGTGTGTGTGTGTGTGTGTGTGTGTGTGTGTGTGTGTGTGTGTGTGTGTGTGTGTGTGTGTGTGTTGTGTGTGTGTGTGTGTGTGTGGTGAATTCAGCTGGATACGCGACTAATAGGATAAATTTTGAAGACAAATCTGATCATTGGCGAAAGCCAGTGTGGTAGTGGAACCTAGTTAAGGTGGGTTATGAAGACAAACACACACACACACACACACACACACACACACACACACACACACACACACACTAGGGCTGTGGGTAGTTTGGACGATGACTGTGTCAGGTCTCCTGTACTTACAGCGCAGTCACTGGGGTAGCAAACACGACCAGCCACGACGGTTATCACACCCGGAAGGAAAGTGAACACATATCAGTACCCAACTGTTGAACGAGCTGAGCCTGTCGTTTCAGCGTCACATTGTTCAACGAGCCCCAAGTGTCGTTTAAGTCTCGTTCTGTTAAACATGGCGAAGCTGTCGTTCCAGTAAGGCACTGGTTCAGCAAGTCCCACTTTTCGTACCAATGTCCCACTGTTGAATAAATTTTACTAGTCGTTCCAGTGTTCCACTGTTGAAAAAAAATCACCAGTTGTACCAATGTCACATTGTTGAATAATTCCACTTGTCGTTCCAATGTCCCACTATTGAATAAATTTCCCCGGTCGTTCCAATGTCCCACTGTTGAATAATTCCCCCAGTCGTTCCAGTGTTCCACTGCTTGATAAGCAGTTGAACGAGTTGATTATACGGTGGCTGGATGGCTAAATAGCATACATCCCTCGCCTCATTGCAAATGCTCCCAGCTGGAACATCTCACCGTGACAAGAGCACCACAGGGCCGTGGCAGCCATCTTCCACACACATCATTCGTGTAAACATTTGTGAACCATTAACTAATATTTTTAATTTATCCCTTCAAACAGGTGTAGTGTCTGATATGTGGAAGATGGCTAATGTAATTCCTATTTTTAAAACAGGGGACAAGTCGTTACAGTCAAATTACCGCCCAATAAGCCTGACCTCAATTGTAGGCAAATTACTAGAGTCAATTATAGCTGAGATTATAAGAAGCCATCTCGATAAGCATAGCTTGATTAATGATACTCAGCATGGATTCACAAGAGGCCGGTCTTGTCTAACTAATTTATTAACTTTCTTCAGTAAAGCTTTTGAGGCTGTTGACCACGATAAAGAATTTGATATTATTTACTTAGATTTTAGTAAGGCTTTTGATAGAGTTCCGCACCATAGACTGTTAAAGAAAGTGGCAGCTCATGGCATTGGGGGAAAAGTGCTCTCGTGGATCGAGTCATGGCTCACTGACAGGAAGCAGAGAGTGTCCATAAATGGGGTTAAATCCGAGTGGGAATCTGTAACAAGTGGCGTTCCACAGGGATCAGTCTTGGGCCCGTTGTTGTTTGTATATATATCAATGATCTTGATGAGGGAATTACTAGTGATATGAGCAAATTCGCCGATGACACAAAGATAGGTAGGATAATTGATTCAAACGTAGATGTTAGGGAACTTCAGGAGGATTTAAACAAGCTCTATTCTTGGTCAGAACAGTGGCAGATGCAGTTCAATGTAGATAAATGCAAGGTTCTGAAGCTCGGGAGTGCCCATAACCTAGTACTTATAAGTTAAATGATGTATAGCTTAGCCATACAGATTGCGAAAGGACTTGGGGTTATGGTGAGCAGCAACCTTAAACCAAGACAGCAATGCCTAAGCGTACGTAATAAGGCAAATAGATTACTGGGATTTATATCAAGAAGTGTAAGCAACAGAAGTCCAGAGGTCATAACTGCAGCTTTATACATCATCAGTAAGGCCTCATCTAGATTATGCAGCTCAATTCTGGTCTCCATATTACAGAATGGACATAAATTCGTTAGAAAACATTCAGCGTAGGATGACTAAATTAATACATAGCATTAGAAATTTTCCCTTATGAAGAAAGATTGAAGACTCTTAAGTTACATTCACTTGTTAGACGAAGAATGAGGGGAGACCTGATCGAAGTGTATAAGTGGAAGATAGGTATTAATAAAGAGGATATTAATAAGGTCTTGAGGATGTCTCTCCAAGAGAGAACCCGCAGTAATGGATTTTAAATTAGATAAGTTTAGATTTAGAAAGGACATAGGAAAGTATTGGTTTGGGAAATAGGGTAGTTGATGAGTGGAACAGTCTACCTAGTTGGGTTATTGAGGCTAGGACTTTGGGTAGTTTCAAATTTAGGTTGGACAAGTACATGAGTGGGAGGGGTTGGATTTGAGTGGGACTTTCACATCAGAGCTTATTTCTTGGGTGGCATTGAAAATTGGGTTGGTCAAATGTTTTGTTAGTGGGATGAATTGTAAAGGACCTGCCTAGTATGGGCCAACAGGCCTCCTGCAGTGTTCCTCCTTTCTTATGTTCTTATGTTCTTATGAAGGCTTGAACCTCGGTTTTGAGAGAGTAGATGGTAGATGGCGAAGCCTGACACGTCGGCTCTACTACAGTAGATAGTAGATGGTGGGTAAAGAAAGTAAGAAAATAATAATAACGCAAAAGTAAGGTTATTTATCTTTATTAAAGACTTGAGTAATATTTAGTAAACAGCACACGCAATATTTACATAAATTTTACAAGTATCACAAAATGAAACTCCATAATGTAATGAGAAATTATTTTCTGGTTATTTAGAAAGAAATGATAATCCAAGAAGACAAGAAGAGGTGATAATCCAAGAAGACAAGAAGAGGTGATAATCCAAGAAGAGAAGAAGAGGTGATAATCCAAGAAGAGAAGAAGAGGTGATAATCCAAGAAGAGAAGAAGAGGTGATAATCCAAGAAGACAAGAAGAGGTGATAATCCAAGAAGAGAAGAAGAGGTGATAATCCAAGAAGACAAGAAGAGGTGATAATCCAAGAAGACAAGAAGAGGTGATAATCCAAGAAGAGAAGAAGAGGTGATAATCCAAGAAGGAGAGAAGAGGTGATAATCCAAGAAGAGAAGAAGAGGTGATAATCCAAGAGAGAAGAAAGGCGATAATCCAAGAAAACAAACAAAGGTGATAATCAGAGAGGTAGAAGAGGGATGAAAGTGTCG